CTCACTTCCCGCCGACCGTAATCGCTGTCTTTCTTTCTCTCTGCCTGCTTCGTCTCCACTACGTCTCTCTCACTGTCTAGCGTACTTATATACGATAATTCTGCCTGTTCTAGAAACTTCTAAGACTCTCAACACGTGCTACCAGCGTCACTTGACTTCCGCTGTCTCAACACACTAGCGAATCTTCTATAATACTCGTCACGTGACCCCCGCTGTCGTGACACACTAGCGAATCACACAATACGTTAGGCCTAATATGTTGTTTAACACTCTATACTCAATCTAGTCCCTAGAAGAGTGTATAATAATAGTACTTCAACATCAATAAACATAATTAAATGAGTATAATGTAAAGTAAATATGTATACGCATGTACATATAGCTTTTGTTATGATACAAAAATACAATTGATACCTAACACTATTACGAGTACATAAAAAGTTTCATTTATCAGGATCTTATTTAGTTTAATTGATTTCCAGTCAGCACTTAGACATCTGAATGTAAGAAAAACTTTCATAAAATTCTCGCATTCTGTTGATTTTCTTCCTGACTAGGTTGCTTGTATATTAACCATCTTCCTAACTTACTTGATGGGAACGAACTTCTTTTGGATGTTTGTAGAGGGCCTGTACCTCTACATTCTGGTTGTTAAGACATTCTCTATTGACTTCATTAAATTTCACCTGTACGCTATTATTGGCTGGGGTGAGTTACTCTGTGTGTTGTTATTTATGTACCAATATAAGGTAATTAATATTCAGAACGTATAGCTTAGACTAGAGTATCTTTAGAAATTTTGTGAAATCTTGATAAAGGCATAAACCCGAAACGTCATAATGTAAATAAGTTAAACATTTTATTAATTTGGAGATTTATGTAGGAAATATTTCCATAATATAAAATTAACGCAGAAATTTCTAAAGGGCTATGAGTGATCATCATATAATAAAATTATTTGTATTAGATCAAGTTGATCAGAAACAGCTTGAGTAAGATTTTTCTATAATAAAATTATTTGTATTAGATCAGTTGATCAGAAACAGCTTGAGTAAGATTTTTATATAATAAAATTATTTGTATTAGATCAGTTGATCAGAAACAGCTTGAGTAAGATTTTTATATAATAAAATTATTTTTATTAGATCAGTTGATCAGAAACAGCTTGAGTAAGATTTTTGTATAATAAAATTATTTGTATTAGATCAGTTGATCAGAAACAGCTTGAGTAAGATTTTCATTCCAGTCATCAGGAATACTTCAGAAATAGAACATTTAATCTAATATTAGAAACTCACTCTGTCACAAACTGAAATTCAATTAACATAACGAGATATTTAATGGTATACATCAAGTATTTTTCCTAAATTCAGCGTTTCACCGTGTTCGAAGCAGGCGTATTTTCAACCGACTTAGGTACTAATTAGCCATCTCTTTACAAGTGATTTTTAACGACTTATTTTAAACCTGCTTGTAAAAGTATTTTATAAATTACTGTTTCAGGAGTACCGGCTCTTGTCGTTTTGATCTGGGCTCCTGTAAAGGCGTATTTTTCTCCTGTGACAAGTGACATGTTTCTTCAACTCGGGTAAGGCCCAAATATAAATAAAAATACATTTTGCAGGAAGGAATATTAATCTATTATTTTATGTTTAAAACGTGTTATTTGGAAGTTTCTTTTTTCTCGTATGTTAACAAAAAACATAACGTCGATTCACATTGGAATATAAACATTTTGCATAATTCAAATATTTCATCATAACTGCCGTGTTTTGTTTTAAAGTTTACACAGTATGTTACTAAAACCAGTAACTGGATAACATCACGTTCATTTTTTCCAGTCTTATGTTTCATATTAATAAAGTCAGTATTCAGATAGTAAAACTTTCCTTTCGGTGTCTGTTAAAATAATTCAATCAATTCAGATGCAGGGTCTAGACTTCCTGGGTTTTCAAATAACTCGTGACCTTATCAATGGAAAATACCAAGATACGCTTGCCAGAGCCCTAAAAAGATCCAAGAATGAACATGATTCAAGTTTCTAAAAGTGACCGGAGTTCTTTATTTAAATTACTTCATCTAAAACGTAAACCTAACAAACCAGATATGATTATGATACGGTTTAAAGAATAAACTTGTGATATGTTTTGTTTTTACTTTTTTCACCTCAGATGTCCTTGGCAGAATAAAGACGACTACGACTATATATTTATTTTTCCTGTCGTTGGTATTCTGTTGGTAAGTGACATTTCTTATAACAATAAAAACATTTGTTCTATTCAGGCAACATCAGAGTAATCAAAACTTTCATAATTACTAGAATAATAGTTTTAACACTTTGTGGTCTGTGTTATAAAACTTTTTAATCTGTATAATAACACTTTATGGTCTGTGCTATAAAACTTTTCAATCTGTATAATAACACTTTGTGGTCTGTGCTATAAAACTTTTTAATCTGTATAATAACATATTATTATCCAGATTGAAAAGTTTTATAGCACAGACCACAAAGTTATTATACAGATTAAAAAGTTTTATAGCACAGACCACAAAGATTAAAAGTTTTATAGCACAGACCACAAAGCTGTATAATAACACTTTGTGGCCTGTGCTATAAAACTTTTTAATCTGTATAATAACACTTTGTGGTCTGTGCTATAAAACTTTTCAATCTGTATAATAACACTTTGTGGTCTGTGCTATAAAACTTCTTAATCTGTATAATAATACTTTGTGGTCTGTGCTATAAAACTTTTTAATCTGGATAATAACACTTTGTGGTCTGTGCTATAAAACTTTTTAATCTGTATAATAATACTTTGTGGTCTGTGCTATAAAACTTTTAATCTGTATAATAACACTTTGTGGTCTGCGTTGTACTGCTTTCATAATTTTTTTGTTGTACAACTTAATGCTAACTTCACTCTATAAACCGTTTTTCTTCCAATAAACAATGAAATCTCATAAGCTAGTCAACTCAACTTCACCTATCATAGAAAATAGATGAAATATACGATGACCGAGGGAAAACAGCTTGATAACGTTACCTTTAATAGCATCTTGTGTAAATTCACACTGATTCATTTACTAAGTCAATAACTAACAAGGTGCAAAATGCTGAAACCTTAAGCTCAGTCTTACTGGAAAACGTCACTCTGAAACCTTAAGTTCAGACTTACTGGAAAACATCACTCTGAAACCTTAAGTTCAGACTTACTGGAAAACATCACTCTGAAACCTTAAGTTCAGACTTTCTGGAAAACATCACTCTGAAACCAGAACTTCTGTTTTATTGGAAAAGATCATTCTGAAACTTTAAGTTCTGCCTTACTGGAACACATCACTCTGAAGCCAGAAGCCCAGTCTTACTGGAAAACATCACTCTGAAACCTTAAGCTCAGTCTTACTGGAAAACATCACTCTGAAACCTTAAGTTCTGCCTTACTGGAACACATCACTCTGAAGCCAGAAGCTCAGTCTTACTGGAAAACATCACTTTGAAACCTTAAGCTCAGTCTTACTGAAAAACATCACTCTGAAACCTTAAGCTCAGTCTTCCTGAAATATTCCCAAAGTCATGAAATTATCCGAGCTCTACTTGAAATTGTTATAGTTATTGATATCTTGAGAATGATAATATGTGAACTGATAAGAAATGCTCACAAGACCTTACATCCAGTTAATATCTATTTATTTTAAAGCAAAGTCACATTGGGCTATCTACTATGTTCTTCCCATTGTAAATCCTTAGACTTATTGCTGTCCCGCCTGTTAACAATAAATCAACTGACAAGTAATACCCTCAAAACCTTATGTTCAGTGTATTTTATTTCTTGGTTATGTTAATTTTTTGTTTATATTTTTATTTATTTACTCAAGAACGTCAGTGTGAAATGTGTATCTTCAAAACTATGCGAAAAAACTGTATTTTTTTTAATATTACATTTTGATGGAACAATACTTGTTAACTTTAATTATTGGTTGTCAATTTAGTATGAAGACAAAACGACCATAATCCCCAAAACAAGATTACGTTTATTTCTTTCAACGTTTCGTTTCTTCAGCTTCTTCGGGAATAACCTTATCCTAGATTTTATGATCGTTTTTCATTGTATAAAAAATGTCTATGTTACTCTAGTCAGAATTTTCTTACTAGACTTTTGCCAAATTTCCCTCGTTTTCAAGTTGCAGACAAAGCTAATACTTGTATGAGAAAAGATAAATATATATAGAATTAAAGGCTAAAAAGTTTTTTTATAATTTTTAACACTACTAGAAAGAAATACGAGGAATTTTCATTAAGAACACGCCGTTTTGTTAAACTCTTTCTCAAAACATGGCGTTTTAACATGTAAACAAACAAAAGATGTTACAGAGAAAGCAATTATTTTTAAAACATTTCAACTGCGTGAAAAGCTACATTTATCTATAAAAATCTAATTAATTGAGCAAAACTTAAAGAAAGTTACCCGTTGTTTTTAAACAAACTGTCTGTCTGTCCGCCATCTAGATAAACATCTTTTTCTTGGCCCGAATCATGTGGGTACTGATTAGTAAGTTGAGATCAGCTACAACTGTTGAACAGAAACAGTACAGGTAGGATCTGATTATCATGTTGTTTATCTATCATAACAGGTAGGAACTGATTATCATGTTGTTTGTCTATTATAACGGGTAGGATCTGATTATCATGTTGTTTATCTGTTATAACTGGAAGGAACTGATTATCATGTTGTTTATCTATCATAACAGGTAGGAACTGATTATCATGTTGTTCGTCTATTATAATGGGTAGGAACTGAAAACAACATGATAAATCTATTATAACAGGTAGGAACTGAATATGGTATTGTTTAATAATTGTACTTAAAATATTGATAAATAATATCCAAATCTGATTTACGTTTACGAACGAGTTTTAAAAGTATTTGTACATTTATATATATGTTTGTGTATTTAACACGTAGAAAGGCTTCGAAGGCTCTGTTGGTACTGATTCCTCTACTAGGTGTCACTTACATCCTCGTCATTGCAACACCCAATCACCGGACAGCAAGGATAGTGTTCACCTATTTACAGGCGACACTACTCTCAACCCAGGTATTTCCGTTTATGTATGCTATCCTAAATTATCAATTATCTCAAGATGTGCTAAGTAGGACTGCCCGTCTGTATAGGTTACACGCTTTGCACTGGTCCAAATGTTAAAACTAACCCCTGCCTTACGTTTCATGCTGCTAGTTCCTATGTTAATATAATTACAATTAAATGATCATTTCTGTTGCAAGAGTGTTAAACAGTTGTCAATCTGAACGACACGTTGGTTAAGCGACATTGCCAAAAACATCTTAAGTGAAGGCCTAGACATCCCTATCTTAGGATTATTGGCCGAAAAAAGGGGCAACAATTCAGCATCACCCACTGCCTATAAGGCTGGTTTTCAACTAAACAACACCCTTGCGGCTGCAAGCGAAGAGCATGTTCAGTGGCACATCGCGACTTGAACTTTGGACCTTCAGGTCCGCAGCACGGTACGCTAACAACTAGGCCATGCCTGACGTTTTAAACCACAAAGACTTTAGAAGAACTTTAGACTGTTTAGGATAATGTGTTCACTTTGGTGAGTGGCACATCGCGACTTGAAGTTTGGACCTTGAGGTCCGCAGCACGGTACGCTAACAACTAGGCCATGCCTGACGTTTTAAACCACAAAGACTTTAGAAGAAGTTTAGACTGTTTATGATAATGTGTTCACTTTGGTGAGTGGCACATCGCGACTTGAAGTTTGGACCTTCAGGTCCGCAGCACGGTACGCTAACAACTAGGCCATGCCT